CAGAAGTTTAACTACAGGTTCAAGTGTGCTATGAGATAAAAAAGATTGAAAAGCACTGCCTTAAGCCAACACCAAATACAGAGAAAGGCCCTAACTCTCTTCAATTCTGTGAAGGTTGAAAGAGCTGAAGAAGTCACCAAAGAAAAATTTGAAGCTAATAGAGGTTGATTTATGAAACTTAAAGAAACTGTCTCCATGACATAGAAGCACAAGGTGAAGCAAGTGTTGACGTAGAAGCTACAGAAAGTTACCAAGAAGATGGAACTAAGATGACTGATGAAGATCGCTACCACAACAGATTTTCAATGTGTAAGAAATAGCCTTCTATTAGAGGAAGATGCCATCTAGGACTTTCATAGCCAGAGAGAAGTCAATGCCTGGCTTCAAAGCTTCAAAGGACAGGCTGACTCTCCTGTTAGGGGCTAACACAGCTATTGACTTAAGGTGAAGCCAAGGTTTGTTGACCATTCCAAACACCCCAGGACCCATAAGAATCATGCTAAATCTACCCTGCCTGCGCTCAATCATCTGAGAAACAAAGCCAAGATGGCAGCGCATCTGTTTATAGCATGGTTTACTGAATATTTTAAGTCCCCAGTTGAGATCCATTGCTCAGAAGACACTTCAAAATAATGCTACTCCTGGAACCCAGGAACTCTCATGGAGAGATGTACAAGGAGATTAATGTTGTCTTCATGCCTGCTAACACCACATCCATTCTGCAGCCCGTAGATCAAACAGTGATTTTGACTTTCAAGTCTTAATATTCAAGAAATACATCTGGTAAGGCTATAGCTGCCATAGATAGTGATTCTTCTGATGGATCTGGGCCAAGTATATTGAAACCTTTCAGGAAAGGATTTACTATTCTAGATACCATTAAGAACATTTGTGAATCACTGGAGGAGGTTAAAATATCAACATTAACAGGAGGAGATTGAAAGAAGTACATTCCAACCCTCATGGATGACTTTAAGGGGGTCAAGACTTCAGGAGAGGAAGTAACTGCCGAAGGGGTGGAAACAGCTAGAGAACTAGAATTAGAAGTAGAGCCAGAAGCTAAAAATGAGTCCTGCCCTTCCATGATAGAACTTGCCTGGACGAGGAGCTGCTTCTTGTGGATGCCCAAGGAAAGTAGTTTTTGAGATAGACTCTACTCCTGGTGAAGATGCTATGAACATTTTTGAAATGACAGCAAAGGATTTTAGATATTTCATAAACTTAGTTGGTAAGGCAGGGGCAGAGTTTGAGAGGACTGACTCCAATTTTGAAAGGAGTTTCACCGTGGGTAAAATGCTACCAGACAACAACGCATGCTCCAGAGAAGTCTTTCATAAAAGGAAGAGTCAAGCAAGGTGGCAAACTTCACTATTATTTTAAGAAATGACCACAACCACCCCAATCTTCAGCAGCCACACCCTGATCAGTCAGCAGCCAGGACTGAGGCAAGACCCTCCTCCACCAAAACTGGCTTAAGATTCAGATGCTGGTTATTATTTTTTCACAATAAAGTATTTTTAAAGCAAGGCATATACATTTCTTTAGACATAACGCTACTACGCACTTATACTCAGTATAGCATAAGCATATCTTTTATATGCACTGGGAAATAAAAAAATTTGTGTGACTCTACTGGGAACAGCTACTTGACTGAACTGGTCTGGAACAAAACTCTTAATATCTCTACTGAATAGGAAGGCAGTATTACTATTTCAAGGGAATAATCTATGCTTTATAGATAACCAAGGATGGACTTATTGAATTAATAAAATTATTCTATCTATTCTTTCAAATAATTCTCTAATATCAAATTTAGCCAAGATCAAGAAACATAAAAAGAATAAGAATATTCTTGAATTCCTTTTTGTTACCATAACATATGTCTGTTTGTATAAACCAAATTACATTTTAACAGAATAATAAAGATGTTTAGTATTTAAAAAGGCTTCGAAGATAATTATCCTTCCAAATTGTTTAAAAGCCTACTCATGCATAATCGTAAGAACATCTTTCAGTCTACTTAGAAAAAAGCATAGTTAAATATTTATAATTGAAAAGCTTATGTACTTTAGTTCTATCCTCATTATTATGTTTTAGTCCCTAGCTTTACAGTTGACATCAGTTTTCTCACTTGTCTGAATGTAATGTTAAATGTCAAACATATTCCCTCTGCCTTCACGAAGCTTACGTTGTAATTGAAAAAATTATTAAAAAATCTTTAAGGAGCTAATGACACTATTATTTAATATAAATCCTGTAGGCGAGTGTCTCTCTTTGCTGCTGCTGTAACAGAATACCTGTGCTCACTTCGGCAGCACATATACTAAAATTGGAACGATACAGAGAAGATTAGGATGACACGCAAATTCGTGAAGCATTCCATATTTTTTGCAAAGTATCTCAAGAATGGAAGAAAAAGTATCCAAGGTACACAGCCCTACTTTGAAACTAATTCATAGCTTTTATAGGAATGTCATAACCTAATTATAGCCTTAGAATATGGGAAGGGGTGGGAGGGGGAGGTGAGTGGGGTGAATGGGGGA